AAAGTCAAAATCTGCAATAAATGAGGTTTTGGATGCCAATTTTGATTTCAGAGAGTTTGAGAGGGTTAGGAGGCTTGTGAACTCATGCTTTGGCTTGTAAATAACCTCTCTATTTATAGATAAAATGTTTTGAAGGCTCAAGAAATTAGAATCCAAAGATAACAAGTTATGGTTTTTTGAAACATCACATGTGATTTCTTGAGAAATCAAATTTCAATGTATGGTACCATTGCTCATAGAGTGGTTAAGTACTTTAAACACAATGCTTATGACTTTTTAGATGGAGTGTGATCATAGGGAATAATTTAGAGGCTCAAGGAGTTGACATTATGTATAAAACTTGCTTTTCAAGAATGGCAATGGTGCCGTTCTTCCAAAAATGACAAAGTGGTTTGGACAATGCTTAAATCAAATGGACCATAACTCAAAATTTTGTGTAAACATTTAATTATGGTGAGATTTGCAAGTTAGAATGTCTGCAAATCAAGATTATGCAGCATAGCATGAAGATTGGATTATGTGTTCATCAAGGAAATGACTTGTAATTCAAGAATGGATGCCCAACTTCATCTCTTCGAATCTCTTAGCTCAAGCATGATAAAAATGTGTTCTTGGAAATTTTGAAAAGCTTGAAGCATTGTATACAACTTTCATGTTGACCATTTTGGCTAAATCAAATTTGAACTTGGTGAAATTGGCCAAGAAGTTGGGACAAAAATCTGACCAAACTTGTTGAAAATTTCTCTAAGTGTTAGATAAAAATGTCATGACTTCCTGGGCCTATATCTCCTAATACAAGCATTTTTTGGACATCAACCCTAAAGGAAAAAGTTGTAGAATTCATCATGCTCTACAACTTTCATGTTGAAAGTTTTCCTTGAATCATCTTGCATCTTAGTGAAAAATGGCCATGAAGTAGTGAATTTATTAAGGTCAAAACACTTAGAATTTTTCTAAGTGTTGGAAATCTTGAATTTTTATTGACTTTTCTTGACTTTGTTGATTCTTGATGATAAAGTTTTATATTTTTGAATATCTTGATGATTCTTTATCTTTGAAATTCAATATTGACTAAAAAGTCAAAGTTTGACTTTTTGTGTGACTGTTGACTTTTATCAATTGATCTAAATTTCAACTATCAATCCCTTGATCTTTATAAATGATTTGAGCCATGAAATTAGGTCAAGATATTGTGTTTTAGTCCTTGAGATCATGCTTCAAGCAATTAGTTCATGTACTAGGTCAAAAGTCAATGACCAGTCAAAACCCTAATTTTGACAATTTTGCCCCTTTGATGATTTGGGTGCTTTCCTTGAGGAATTATGATCAAACCTTGAGAAAATGGTAATATCACATAAAAATGTTGATGTTGACAAAGAATCTTGAAGTTTGACTGTATGTTGACCATAATTGACTTTTTATCCAATATAGTTGATTTTCAGTCATCTGAGCAATTGACTGAGCAAATTTGTGACGCAAGACTTGAAACTTGGTATGAGCATTCTTGGAGACCTATAATGAATCATGAAAGTCACTTGAGGAATTAGAATTCCAATTTTCTTTGATAAAACCAAAACCCTAGTTGTGGACCCGGTGCTTAGGAGGTGAGCTTGTTTGATTAACTCTTGAGTATTCTTGAGCATTTGAGGAATTTTGTGAGAAATGTCTTGAGAAAAAGGGAGGGGAAATTTTTTAATACAACAGTGAACCAAACCTGTTTTTATGATTTTCAATAGGAATATTCTTGGGCCAATGATAAAATCTGATTTTGTTTGCAAGATAATGAGGCCTTTGTTTGGCATATGATTGAATTCAAATTCCCTATGTTCTGATTCCTTCACAAAATCCCTAATGATGAATTGTAAAATACTTGCTTGGAAGCTTTCTTGTCCATGACTCATTGATTGAACTTGTACTAACTATTTCTTTGTTTGTTTTCCATGTGATGTTGATGAATGAGCTTGCAAGAGCATAGAGGATGACTTGAAGAAGAAGTTATAGCAAGGCGTGAGAATAAGACGCTTGAAGATGGAGCAAGAAGATTGAAGAATAATCCTCTTTTCTTTGTAAATAATAAACTTGTAACTTGTATTTCAAATTTGTAAATTTCCTTGTAAATTTCTCAAAATGTAATGAACATGAAACTTGGATGGTTTTGTTTCTTGAAACTTGAATAATCCCTCTTTGTTGAATTTATGAATGATGAATTTATCTTATGGAAATTGGATGAATCTTGAACCTTTGTTGGAACTTTGAATAATGGATGAACCAACGAATTTGAACAAACCATGTCTTCAATAAACTCAACTTCTTAATACATGGTTTGAATGATCTTTGAATCAAATTCACCATTTTGCTTTAATTCACAACTTCAAACCAAAAACACGAATCAAAGGACATACCCCAGTATCATGCTTGAATTTCCAATTCTCTATGCCTTGTTCTTAGAGCAACTGATGAACTCACATTCTTCTCACAAGTACCATAAAAAACAAGAAATCTTGAATTGATGATCCATAATTCTTGAGAGAAATCTCAATATACAGGCAATCATGCTTTGACAAACTCTTTCCCATTTGATGGACTCCAACCAAGTAAAGTCTTGATTCCAAGGCTACACCCGAATCTCGGTTTTAGAGAAGTCTCTAGAGGAAAATGGAAGTTGAAATTGGAAGTGAAGAATGCTCATGATAGCCAAAGTATCAAAACCCTAGCTGCGACAACATGAATGATGTAGAAATCAAATGAATCACACTTGAGTGATATAAAAGCCCCAAAGCATAAGGAAACCCTAATTTTTGACTGAACAACTTAGGAGATGGTAACTGAGGAGTAAACCCTGATTTTTAATCACACATAGGGAAATAAACCCTAATCCAAGATCTTGATGAATTTGAATGAGAAATGGCCTTGTACAGAAACTCATGATAACCACACTTCAAAACTTGATTCCACTGTCCATTGCCCAAGGAGGAACCAAGGAAATCAATTGTAGAATGTAGAAGCCTCAAACCAAAATTACACCCTAGTTAGCACAACCACTGATGCTTTGAACCACTGCCTTATTGAGATGAAGGAATGATGTGTGAACGACCTAATGAAAATGATGCAAATGAAATGCAAAGCCTAAGTCAGGTAAAAGTGAATAGATAGGACAAATTTGGGATATGACACCTCCTAGAATGTCAAGACCAACGCCATCCAAATCACGCTCCCATCCTCCTCAACGGCCATCCCCAGATCTGCTCGTTACACGTCGAGCAGACAACCAGACCAACGCTCACAGCGCGTTTTCCCGTCATCTCACCATTGCCCGTCAACGGCTAGTTACGAGCACGAATGTCCGTTTTGACTAGGTCTTGGCAGTTACCTATTTTCACGGAACCTAATATCTAGGCCCAAAAATAGGAACCAATGGCTACACGTCGAGGGCACTATATAAATTCTCACACTTATGAGGGTCAGATATCCAATATTCAAACCTTAAACCCTAATATCTTGCTTGTATCTCTTTACACCCGTTCTTACTTGATCATCAGAGTGCCTTGCAGGTACAACCTTCCTTTCTCCTCAACTTTTCAGTAAATCAGATGTCATCCTTCGATCCACTTTCAAGTTCTGATCACAGGTACGATCAATATCTTATACCCTTAAGCTTATAGGGTATTAGAAGCTTGAATGTTAGTTGTGATGTTAGTTAGTTTGTTAAGTTACTGTTATAGTTATTAGTTTGTTTAGACAAAATATATATAACACTTTAGTCTTGTTCTTGTAATCAGATTTTCCACTTTGATTAAAACAATAAGCCTTTCAGGCTATTCAATGTTTGTTCTCCTTCATACACATTACAAACATGATGAGTAATAATTGTTGAACCCCGGGGTATAAGATAATTGAAGGAGGTGAGAATAACATGAGTTTCTCCTTTCATCATGGAAAGATCAACAGGATTCTAAGATGTTTAAGTAATATGAAGGTCCTTGTGTGATGTCTAAATCAAGAGTTAAGATTTGAGCTTGGAAAAAAACAAACTCTAAGTTGCATTTGATGTACCTCAACATTTGGTTTATGCCATCTATCTATTGCAACAAACGTATATATGTTTTCTCTAGAGAGTATCTCTTGTGTGTCTTATTCTCTCATCATTTTCATTAAGAAGATACTCATCATTTTCATTAAGAAGATACTGACCAATCCTAGAATTAGCAAGGACTATTCAAATCTCCATGAGCTAACGTGTTTCTTAAATTTCCATGTCAACAATTGCTTGCTTAAGAACATCTTTTTTTCATAAGTAGCAGTTGTTCCAAACACTAAATTAAGAGGTTTAGGTTGTTGCAAGATATACAAATTCTTATTTTTCTGTAATGCTAATTAGTATGTTTCAGTTCTCATTAGCATTAGTAAGACTGTTATCTTGTTGAGAAGTCATGTTATCATTATGCTTTTTGGTTGCGGTAGTTTTAGAAATCTTACCAATCACATCTCGTGTATTTTTTAAATCGGGTCTAACCCGTTTACTTTAATTTTTAATCGAGATTTTCTCCCATTCTCATGAAAAGAAGCTGTCTTGTTGGAAAATTCCAAAGAGATTTCTTTTTTCATGTTTTCATTAGTAAGATTAACGAGATTAAATTGTTACCTTTATTTCCTATAATCTTGAAGGATCCCATTATTTTCTCTCCCTTAACATTGTTTCCAGATTTATTGCTAGAATTTGCGGGTTAACGGTTTCCTTCTCAACCAGATTTGGTTCAGCCGTTGACAATAGTTGTAATGTTTGCGCCGCCACAACAGATACTTTCACCATCTTGAAACAATTTCGAGTCATGTGACCATAGATACCATAACTTTTGCTTGATAAATATAAGCTTTTGTAAATCAGATTTTCATTCACAATTCCACAAATCCAAAATAATACAACAAATATTATCTTTTGAATCTAATGCCAAAAATCCCCTTAAGAAAAATGGATAGAAACTTTACGGAAAATGGCTAACCTATAACAACTCTATCAATGGGGAAAGATCCTCGGTTGGAATAACTAAAACGGAGTTCAAATCAGCAACTGTTTCAGTTGAACGTCTAGACTGCAGCCATGACTTGGCATCTTGGCTTGTAGTAATAAACCAGCCATCCATTTTAGTAGCCTTGTGGAAAGGAGCTCTAAGTTCCTTCAGATATGATTCAAATACACTAGCCAAGTCTTTCTCTGATCGTCTGTGTCTCCAATGGACCGTACAAATTCCAAGCAATTGTGGAAGCTCCTCGCCCGATTCAAAAGCCTTAGACAAGTCGTCAACCCAAACATGAAACGCAGTCATAGCAGCACCAACTGATAGTTTTTTTAGGTTCAAACACCACTGAGTTTCAGTTCTCGATTGAATATCACTATATATCTTAAGCGTCAATCCCAAGTCAAGAAGGTCGCGGGCTCTGTCTTGCACACCAAGGTTGACACAAAGATCAAGTAGATGGTTGCACAAGGACTTCTTTACACCACCATCGGCTGAACTTAAAAGTTCTGATGTCTCCTTTATAAAATATCCATCATCCTCGCTCCCTTCCGTCAAACATGTCACAATATAACCAAGCTTTGGGTTAGCTTTCTCAATGCAATTTGTTATCTTACCGAGCTCTTCTTTTGGTAGGTTGGTCATCACATTCAAAAGAGAATCCCAAAAACGACCGTCGGGCGTGATGCCGATTTCCCAAACTCGATTAAATATATTCACAACATCATCGGTTCGTCTTGCCTTTCCGTAGCAATGAACAAACATTGTGAGAACCAAGACATTAGGCTTCAACCCATGGCTTATCATTTCATTCAACATGGCTTCCGCCTCCGAAACTTTCCCAAGACATGAATACATGTTAATCAAGGATGAGTATGCGATAAGGTCGGGCTCGCAAGTCTTGGAATGCTTCATATCTTGAAATATTTCAACAGCTTCATCTACACAGCCAACATCAGCACACATGTCAAGAAGCATGTAATAAAGAGCTTTATTCATACTCATCCCCTTTTCCTTCATTTCCTTATACACACTCAACGCTTCTTTACTTAGTCGTCCTCGAGAATAAGCTTCCAAGAGAGCTGAATAGGTTGCCCAATTCGGTGAAAATCCATGCTTTTTCATCTCTTGGTATACACTCTTCGCATCCATTGCCCTCTTAGCTCTCCCCATTGCATACAACAAAGCATTATACAATGTCACGTTCGGCCTAACACCAAGAGCCTTCATATCATTATAAACACTCAAACACCCATCATAGTTTCCCAACACACCATACATCTTAATCAAAGCAGAGAATGCAACTGCCCTAACAGGCCACTTCTCATTTTTCGCATCATCATACAATTTCAAAGCCATATCAACATTACCCGTGCGAGCATAAACATAAATCATCGACGACGACACATTATGATCCGGCTCACACCCAAAAGAAGGCATCCTCTCAAACAACTCCACGGATTTGTGAGGCAGAGAACAAACAGAAGCACACCTAATCAAAGTCGAAAACGTAACAACATCAGGCTTGACTCCTCTCTGCAGCATTTCCTCAAACACCTTCTCTGCTTTTTCAAAATCATTAATTTCTCTAAAAAGCTTAAACAACACATTGTAAAGAACAACATGTCTCTCCGGTTCAATCTTCTTCTGGAAGTATTTAACAGCAAGAATCACAATTTCAGGGTTTGTTATGTTATGCAGAACATGCTCCGCATCAACTTCTTTAACATTGTCTCCCAAACCCTTGAGAATTTCACAAACTTCTCGCTCATTAGGATCAGATGAGTTGTGCAATTTGGCAAGAGATGAGATGGCGCTATGGGTTTTGCTCCAAACTCGATTGGAATTGAGGAGTTTGGGATTGACCCAGATTTTAGATTTGGATAAAGGTGAAGAATTTGCATGTGGGTCATTGTGTTTTGCAGCTTCAAGAGAATTGGGAGGTTGGAAAGAGAAAAAGGTTTTGAATTTGCGGTTGGGGAATTTGGGGTTGGTGAAGGAGTTAGGGGATGAAATGCGAGTTGTGAAATCAGAGAAGGTGGAAGAAGGGGAAGAACACAGAGGGTAAGCATGAGCCATTTTTGGTCTGTATGTGTGTGTGAGAGACAAATGAAGTTACTGGTGTAAAAACTTGTTTGAGTAAATCATCTAATGTGAGTCTCACATTTGATGATTAAGTCCAATAGTATTCGACGTCAAAAAATTTACGCATCAAGTTCTATAGTGTTTGACGTCAAAGGTAATTCAAAAAACTCAAGTTACTTAAATTTTCGTAGTACATTTGTTTTAATGGTTCAATCATTTCAAAATAACTATTGTTTTAACAAATTAATTTTATTTTAAAATATCTGTTATTTTTATTTTTCAATATAATAATAATTATTATATTAATAGAATTAATTTTATAAAAGTTAAATGTCTTATGACTACATCAATACATTCCTTAATTTGTTTGTAAAAATCTTAAATGATAGTATATTTAATTGTAAGATATCTGTATTTTCCAATTGTTTAATGACACTTAGAAATATGATAAGCAAATGAAAACTCGACAGGCTATGGACATCCAAATTACATATTGAATGTCTTTCTTAAGTTCAAGCAAATTCAAAAACATATATTCGATGATTTGGTATTGGGATCAAGAGAAATCACTATATAAATGAGAATCCAATGATCGATTGTGCTCATTAACCAACCAGCATACCAACATTTCAGTCCTGAGCACAGGACTTCCACTTCATAACCAAATTCAACATCACCTTGAAAACTAGACAATTCATGTTTCTTGACAGCAATGACTTGTCCTTCTGGTAGAACCCCTCGATGAACCAATCCATACCCTCCCCCTTCTGACAAGAAAATGGCTTGTGAAAATCCACTGCTCGCGAGTTCGAACCCATCATAGCTGAACCATCTCAGAGGTTTTCCAAAAACAGGTCCCTTGTGTTGAAATATTGAGCTGAATGGAGGAGGACCGAGTGAAGCATTTCCGAATAATGCTGTTCCTTCTCTAAAATTTCCACTAAAATCTGAATAACCTGTATATGCTGAAATTTCAATTCCAGCTCCTCTATCAGGCCTAATGAACTTTTCCAGCAAAGCTTTGGTCGTACCATGTAAATCTCTGATATTTCATGAGTTTTTCAACCCCAAATTTCTAACAAGTTCAAGCTGTTATTTGTCTGTCATTTCATTTATAATCAGTAACAGTGAAAAAAATTCTATCATCCAAGCTCTTATTAAAATTTGTCCATTTGTTTTTCTTGCTCAATATTAAACTTGCAAATCAAAATAGTCTGATGTGCTAGATACCACAAGAAGTTAGGCAATTTGATTCCAGTAAACCTTCAGGATGAAAAGAACATAAGATGCAATGAAGGAAAATGAAAGAATATGACAAAACTCATCAAGTTCAGTACTTATCTTTCACCGTGAAACTCTTCTCAATTGCATTCTTCCAATTCATGAGAATGGAACTGTTTTAGGGTTTTCTTTATGTGAATGAATGGTTTTGTATGGAACTGGGGATAGTGCATACTCATGAATGATTGTTCATATTGCCTCACAAGAAAGAAAAACAATACTCATATTGCATCCATAACTTAGGAAAGCATTTTGATACAACACTCCTTCAACCATGAAATCTTACAATGACTACCAAATGCATTCAATTCTGCTGCAAGAAACTATAAGTATCAAAGACTTCAGGGTATGATACCATGCATCAACCCTATGCTAAGAAGGGTTTGCACTCTGTGGGCAAGTCCCAGAACTTTTCATGTCTTCAAAAATCTCTAGAGCTTCATCATTAGTGCCAACTTTAGCACACATAGCTAAAAGCATATTATAGAGATCTTTAGTCACATCCATTCCTTTCCCTTTCATCTCTTTATAAACACAAAGAGCATCTTGATCATATTGTGCACTAGCATAGACTCGCAAAAGAGTTGAATAAGTTTTAAAATCTGGCGAAACTCCATTACTTATCATCTCTTGATATATAGTCTTGGCTTGCCATTGCCTCTTACCTATCAACGTGGCAATCAACAAACTGTTATACGTTTCCACGTTAGGCTTCAAACCAAGACTCCTCATTTCTAAGTGTTTATTCAAGCATGCATCATAGTTTCCAAACAAAACAAACATTTTAATCAAGGCTGAGAATGTCATTGCATCAGGTTCACACCCAAAACCTGGCATCTTCTCAAACAACTCCAAAGCCTTATCCGGAATAGGACACATTTTAATCATAGTAGTAAACGTAATGTTATCAGGCTTGACCCCTCTTTGAAGCATTTCATCAAACACCTCCTGTGCTCCTTCAAAATCGTTACATTTCCGAAACACTTTGAGGGTCACATTGTAAAGAACCACCCGATTATATCTAACGTATTTAATCTTGTCCCTAAGGTATCTAAGAACAACGGGTGCAGTTTTGGGGTTCATCATGTTATCAAGAATGAACACAGCATCTTGTTCTGCAACGTTGTTGTCTCCTAAACAGTTGAGAATTGCAGAGACTTGTTGCTGAGTGGGATCGCACGAGTCCAAAGACGCGGCAAGTTGAAGGAGAAAACTGGTCTTAGAGTTAGAGGGTTTGTTTCTGAAAGGTTTAGATTTGGCGCTATTAGGATTGACCCAAATTTTGGTTTTGGGTGAAGACGAAGAATTTGTAACTGGGTGGTGCAGAGAATAAGTTTTGAATTTGAAATTGCGATTGTTAGAAGAAATGGGTGAAGGGGTTGAAATTGAGAGAAAAAGAGGAATATTGGAGAGTGAAGAGCAAAGACGAGAAGCCATGAGAACAAAGACGTTCAAGAAACCTGCTTGAGTGCAAAACGAGTTTGAGAAAACCTAATCAACCAGTCTTCAACCATCACAAAAATTTAGAGACGTGGAGGGTGGGAGTAGGTTCAGAAGCGCGAGAGGAGAAACTAAGATCTACACACTAGAATAATGTGGGAGGCTCGAGGCACGGGGACCATGAGGATATGAAACCAAGAAAATCCTTCTTTTTTAATTTCTCAGTCCCAAAATTTTAAGACGCTTAGGTAGGTACTCACAAAAAAACTTATAATGAATAGGATAAATATGTATAAATGGGTATGGATACAAACTCAGATAATTATCCACTTAAATAAACGGGTATAGGTGTGGATACGAACACTTTAGTATCAATCTCGCCACATACATATTCATTATATATTTTTATATACTTTATATTATCATATTAAAATAAATATCTATCAATTTCTAAAAATACATCGATGTTAAATTGGGCTCCTGTTCTGAACTGGGCCGACACCTGCCCCACTGTTGAGAAGACCCAATCCAGCGCCTCTACAAAGGCTCAAAAGTGTGCAGCCCAAACCAAGGATCGTTGGGCATTTCCCCACGTACCCACTAGAGGAACATGACTTACACGTTTCCATAATGCCATCATCCTGCCCTCCGAGAATAACGGGTCCAACTTCCCTATTTTCTCGGGGAAATTGACCAGGAAGGAGGTCACATGCTGGACTCCATACACCCGTAAACCCTGACAGTCTTCATTATTGGGCCTTATTGTGGCCCAACACTGAAGTCATTGGCCCAACGCTGAGGGCTATAAAAACCCTCTCACTTGAGAGGGTCAGGTATTCATTCATCCAAACTCTCACACTTTACTTGCATTTTCTCTGAACCTTACTTTGGCATCAGAGTGTCTTGCAGGTAACCTCCCACTTCACATTCAATCGTTGCTCGACTCAAAGTTCGTGGTGTTTTTAATGACCATAAAGTCATTCTGACCACCGCAAGTTCGCTTTGCGAAAGAGGTTCGCTATAGCGAAATTTTTTGGGTCGAGCATTTGCGTCGCGAACCTAAGTTCGCTTAGCGAACTCTGCAAAATCAAACTATTTTACAGATCTGCTTCTTTGCTTCACCATGTTCCATGTTGCCAAAATAATTGTCTAACAAAATGAATTTAGTAGATACTTACAGTGTCGGGTTGCCTCCCGAAAAGTGCTCTTTTAATGTCATTAGCTTGACGCTTTTGCCACTTCTATGGTTCACGTAACGGAATGGTAGTGGTGATTCGATCGACCTCACCCCCAAGTATAGCTTTAGTCTCTGACCATTGACAGTCCAGGTTGTATTAGTGGTTGGATCCTCTAATACAACATCTCCATATGGCTTAACCTCTTTAATTTGGAATGGTCCGGACCACTTTGATTTGAGTTTTCCGGGGAACAATCTTAGTCGTGAATTGAAGAGTAAGACCATTTGACAAACTTTGAAATCCTTTGGAAGAATTTTACTATCATGGTATCGCTTCACCCTCTCTTTGTATAGTTTGGACGGTTCATACGCTTGCAACCTTATTTCATCGAGTTCTTGTATTTGTAGCTTCCTTTTCGTACCGGCTTATTGTGAGTCAAAATTGAGAGTTCTTAAGGCCCAAAAATATTTGTGCTCAAGTTCCAACGGTAAATGGCAGGCCTTATCGTATACCATTTGAAAGGGAGTGAGGCCTATTGGTGCTTTCTATGTGGTGCGATAAGCCCAAAGAGCTTCATTGAGTTTTAATAACCAATCCTTTCGTGAGGTTGAAACGGTTTTTTCTAATATTCTTTTGATCTCACTATTGGATACCTCAACATGTCCGTTCATTTGTGGATGATACGGTGATTCTACTTTGTGTTTAACACCATAATGTTCAAGAGCTTTCGCTAGTTGTGCATTACAGAAGTGCGATCCTCCATCACTAATCAGGATCCTTGGTGTGCCAAACCTTGTGAAGATGTTTCTTTTTAAGAATTTCACTACCGTTTTGCTATTTGCTTTTGGTGATGTTATTGCTACCCCCCAATAATCGAATACCTCTACTTCTAACATACTCTGCATTGGCATTTTGTTTCTTTTTGTGATTCCGCCAGCCCTTTGACAATTATCACAATTCTTGGCATGTTCATATGTATCTTTGAATAATGATGGCCAATAGAATCCTGCTTGCAATACTTTTGCAGTTGTTCGTTCACCACCATAATGACCTGCATATGGTGAATTATGGCAATGCCATATAATTCTTCTCGATTCTTCTTTTGTGACACGTCGTCTTAGTAACCCATCAACCCCAATTTTAAACAAGTATGGATCGTCCCATACATAATGAGTTGCATCGCGTAAGAACTTCTTCTTTTGTTGCCAATTGAGGTCTTCGGGAATAAGACCCGATGCTTTATAATTTGAAAGATCTGCAAACCATGGCCTTTCCTCAATCATGAGTAGTTTTTCATCGGGAAATTCTTCAAGGACTTCTCTTTCCTTTTTGGTAATTTTAGGATTTACCAACCTTGACAGATGATCAACAACTAAGTTCTCGGTCCCTTTCTTGTCACGAATATCTAGATCAAATTCTTGTAAGAGGAGCATCCAACGGATTATTCTTGGTTTTGAATCCTCTTTGTTGATCAAGAATTTGATTGCTGCATGGTCAGTATAACAAACAATCTTGGATCCTATAAGATAAGACCGAAATTTTTCTAATGCGTAAACTATAGCGAGCAGTTATTTTTCTGTGGTTGCGTAATTAACTTGTGCATCATTTAAGACCTTGCTCGCATAGTGCATAGCATGAAAGATTTTGGTTTTTCTCTGTCCCAAAACAGCCCCGACCGCGTAGTCACTTGCATCACACATGAGTTCAAAATTGATTATCCAATCGGGTGCAGTGATTACGGGTGCAGTGCTTAATTTTTCTTTTAGATTTTCAAAAGCAGTTAAACAATATTTATCAAAATTAAACGACTTGTCTTTGTTGAGGAGATTACTTAAAGGCTTGGTGATATTTGAGAAATCTTTGATGAAACATCGATAAAACCCGGCATGACCAAGGATTCCTTGGATTCCTTTGACATTGATTGGTGGTGGTAGCTTTTTGATGTCGTCAACCTTAGCTTTGTCAACTTCAATCCCTTTGGCTGAAATCTTATGTCCAAGGACTATGCCCTCAGTTACCATAAAATTACACTTTTCCCAATTTAGGACCAGATTCGTTTCCACGCATCGTTTCAGTATGGTGTCCAAATTTTCCAAACATAGGTCAAAAGATTCACCAAACACAGAGAAATCGTACATGAATATCTCAATGCATTTCTCAATCATGTCTGAAAAAATGGTCGGCATACATCTTTGGAATGTTGTTGGTGCATTGTGTGATACGGTGGGAGAACTGACTTTGGTGTTTTGTGTTTTATCGTAAATGTTGCGGTTAGCAAGAGTCGCCACCGACTTTTATTTTATCCAAAAAGTAAAGGCTGAAAAGAACAGGAAAGACCTTTGAGATTGTTTCTTGAGTTCGGGGAGTAGATTATGAAAAGGAAGGTGTTAGCACCCTTTTCATCCATAGTTATCTATGGGATCTTAGTTCCTTGCTAGATCACTTGCTTTTATTTGAAAATGTGCTTTGCGTGGTTTTTGAAAGTATTTTGAAAAGGCAACTTCGTTTAGGCAAACTTTGTAATAGTTCTCGTTCGTAAGAACGTATGCGAAGTGTTGAGATTTTGAAAATGTTTCAAGTTTGGAAAATGTTTTGCAAGTGTTTTTGAAAGTGTTTGTGTTTGTTTTGAAAATAAGCAAGAGTGTTTGATTTGAAATTGAGCAAGCAACTAGGAACAATCTACCTACTCAAAAGTCTTAGTTCATTTCTTCCTTTCCTTTGATATTGCTATCTTACCATTAATTTGGTAAGAAGCCTTATCTTTGGATGTAAAGGGACGAGCGTGGGTCATCATATAGCCATGATAGCAATGTTGTGAAATATCTTAGAAATTCTCTTTGAGGGACTAAGATCATTTTGAAAGGCAACATTTGATAGCGTCATCGAGGGACTATGATCTTGTATTTTTTATTACTTTTTGCTAAGATATTCCACATGCATAATATGACCATTTTTGTAAGGCAACAAAGTGGAATTACCCTAAGGGTGCAAGTGTGCAAATGTGTTGATTTTCATGCATGGTTTTGTCTTGAATTAGGGTTTGCTAACTTGTTGATTTTATCTTTCCATACAAACTCTAATTTATTAGCATTTATATAAAGTGATAAATTGCGGAAAATAAAAATACTAAGCTATTGCATCATTAGGGGAGGGGGTATACAAATTTACAAATGGGGAATTTACAAGAAAATTAAATCTAATTAACTATTACAACCATATTGAATAAATGTACAAGAATTGAATAAATAATAATGTACAAATGCAAATGGAAAAGAAACACGATTTTTGTTTGGATTTTTATGAAAGGGGTTTTAATTTAAACCTAATTAAAAAAATAATTAGTTAAAAATTAACTAAATTAAATTTAAACTAATTAAGAAAAGAAATTAAGTTAAAAAATATTTTTAGGATTTTTTATGAAATGGTTTTAAGTTAAGGAAGATAATATGGAAATTAATTAATTAAAACAAACCTAAGTTCTAAATTAATTAATTAAGAAAATAAAAATATAATAATTAAACCTAATTATCTAAATATTAATTATTAAAAAACGTTAAATTTATTAAGAAAATACTTTTAGTCTTTTTGTTTTTTACAAATAAAAATAAATAAATGTAAAAATAATAATAATAATAATAATATTTTTTGGATTTTTTATCACTAATAAAAATAATAATAAAAATAAAATAAAAATGAAATGTAAATAAAATAAAATAAGAAAATAAAATGAATGAAATAAATAAAAGTTGGGCCAGGAGTGTATGAGCAAACAGGGGGTTAGAATCAGGCAACAAAAAAAAGCAAAAGCCCAATGGTTTA